CGGCGTTCTGCTCAACGAAATGAGGTACATGCGGGAGGGCAACTCCCCGGTGTTGGAGGCGGTCACGGACGAGGAAGTGGTGCCTATGTCGGCCGCTCGCAAATGCTTGCGAGGGTGGGCGGGCGACACTGTGCAGACTCCGGGGGGCATGGACCGTGCGGCAGCAACACGAGTGGCCAGGAAGAAAAATGTTGGAGCGGGCCATGGGCCTCCGACGCAACTCGTGCTGGATGCATCCCTGGCAATTGGCAGTTCACTTATCCCAGCTTGCTCGGCTAGAGCCCACGCAAAGAGCGGATGTGGAAAAGGTGATTGCCGCTGGGGATGTGCACGGCCCTGCTGGTGGGTTTGGCAACCATGTGCCTTTTGCGCTGCCTTCGCGCGCTGGCCCCCCATGAGTCGAGGCCCCCTCTGGGCGCCCCTCTGATGCCTCCCGTCTTCCCACGCCTTGCACCGGCAGCCGCTCCTGCACAGTACTCGGCTTGGCCTCCAGCGTCCACCCAGGGCAGGCGCTCCATGAATCTTCAGCAGCCCGGTGGCCGGATTCTCGATGACCCACATGAGCGGGTCGAAGTGCGCTATGATCTCAAGGGCGCTGAGCACCAGCGCGTCGCCCTCCTCAAGTCGTCGAGGACGCTTCGTCGGCTGTACTCCGCGCTCGGGCCACACCTCGGGCCGTACCTCTCTGTGTACCTCGGGCTCGGGCTGTACCTGTGCTCGTACCTTGGGCTCTAACTGTGCCTCGGGCTCGGGCGCTGTCATGGGGGCAGGCTTGGGCTTGGGTGTTGCCTTGGGCTTGGGTGCTGCCTTGAGTGCTGCCTTGGGTGCTGTCTTGGGTGCTGCCTTGAGCATGGGTGCTGGGTGCTGGCTTGGACAGGGGTGCTGCCTTGGACATGGGTGCTGCCTTGGGTGCTGCCTTGGACATGGGTGCTGTCTTGGGCTTGGGCTGGGGGAGCGCGCTTGCCTTGGGCTTTGCCTTTGTGGGAAATCTCGCCCATTGGGGCGGAAGGGGGAGTCTATTTCGTACGCTGGCTCTGTGGGGAGGTCGGGGATCATTTTTTTGCTCTTCGGCAGGGGCAGCACGGGCGGCTTGGGCTTGTTCTTGCTGCCCGGGGCCTGCCTCTTGGCCTTGGCGCCGGTTGCGCTTGCTTCATCGGGTTTTTAATAGGAAATATTTTTTTAAACGACCATCGGGGAAACGACAAGGACGAGCCCCTCAGTCGGATTCCAGATCGGTCAGCCGGAAGCGCATGTGTCTCAGGGTGATGGGCCCCCTGACGGCCATGAAGTGCCCGTCATCGGAGCCGGTCTCAACGCTGGTGCCCACGCCGCTCTTCAGCGTGAATGTCGTCCCCCACCTCGCTGTATGCCATCATCCTGACAAACTCAAAGACCGAGCATGTGGTCCACGCTGAAGGGCTTGGTCGGAGAGGCGGGCGGCGCTGTGCAGACCGGGCTGGCCCAGACCGTGTCGAAGTGCCCCGGCGGAAACAGCGTAGCCCCAGCTCCGGATGTCGCACAGGAACGTGGGCTCAAATTTCGACGCGATGTCCAGGGAGACAACTTCCCACCCCACCGCCTCGAAGGCTCGGCCAATCGACTTTGTGCCGCAAAACAGCTCCAGCAGTCTCGGCACGTTTAATAATCACCACCAGCACGACGAAGCACGCGCAGGCGACGGCGCGGCTCAAGCAGTTTCGCATGCTCGGACCAACCTTTTTTTAATCGGAGACAGAAAAGGATGCCGAGCCAGACGAGCATGTGGAACTTGGGCGAGGTGCGCTTCAATGCTAAGGGTGGCAAGTTCTTGAGCCTGGAGCCGCTGTTTTGGCAGAGCGAAGCTTCGCTGGAAATTGCATGGGAGCCCAGGGCCTTTTTGCTTTGTTAGGGGCGCGCTTTGACCTTTGGAGAGCGAGAGGCCGTTTCACTTTGGCTTTCTGGAGCGGGGGTGTTCCTTGCTTCAGTGGCTTCAGGGGCTGGGCCCTTCTTTGCTTCACTTCAGCAACCGCCAGTGTCAAAACAAACTGCTGCTTCGTTTTTCAGCATCTGTGCAGAGCACACTTCCTCTTCTTTGCAGAGCACACTTCCTCTTCTTCGCAGAGCACACTTCCTCTTCTTTGCAGAGCACACTTCCTCTTCTCTGCAGAGCAGACTTCCTCTTCTTTGCAGAGCACACTTCAGCATCTTTGCAGAGCACACTTCCTCTTCTTGGCAGAGCAGACTTCCTTCTTTGCAGAGCGCACTTCCTCTTCTTTGCAAAGCACACTTCCTCTTCTTTGCAGAGCGCGCTTCAGCATCTTTGCAGAGCACACTTCCTCTTCTTTGCAGAGCAGACTTCCTCTTCTTTGCAGAGCACACTTCCTCTTCTTTGCAGAGCAGACTTCCTCTTCTTTCCAGAGCACACTTCAGCATCTTTGCAGAGCAGACTTCCTCTGCTTTGCAGAGCGCATTTCCTCTTCTTTGCAGAGCACGCTTCCTCTTCTTTGCAGAGCAGACTTCCTCTTCTTTGCAGAGCACACTTCAGCAGACTTCCTCTTCTTTGCAGAGCACACTTCCTCTTCTTTGCAGAGCAGACTTCCTCTTCTTTGCAGAGCAGACTTCCTCTTCTTTGCAGAGCAGACTTCCTCTTCTTTGCAGAGCAGACTTTTTTTGTTTGCAGAGCACACTTCAGCAGACTTCCTCTTCTTTGCAGAGCACACTTCCTCTTTTTTGCTTTTTTGCAGAGCGCACTTCCTCTTCTTTGCAGAGCAGACTTCCTCTTCTTTGCAGAGCGCGCTTCCTGGCAGACCAAGCTCTCTCTTTAGAGGGAGTTTCCCAAATGGATTCTATTCCACCTGGTAGGCTTCTGACACTCGTCCGTCCAGGAAACGACCTCGTCCTGTGAAGGATTCGAAATCTAAAACGCTGCGTGCAGGCGTGTGGCTGCAACATAACGACCCCTAGATATGCGCTGCAATTTGCCTCCAGGTTGCATTTCAAGCAAGGTCAAGCTTTGTCAAAAGGAAACCCCTTTTCCCTCTTTTTGGGTCCCCTTTTTTTGGGACCCTTTTTTTTTCTCTCTTTGTTTTGTTTTTTTCTTAGCCCTGCAACTTGAAATGCAACCCGGAGGCAAATTGCAGCGCATATCTAGGGGTCGTTATGTTGCAGCCACACGCCTGCACGCAGCGTGCCTACCAGGTGGAATAGAATCCATTTGGGAAACTCCCTGTAAAGAGAAAGTCGACGCGTTGCCGTTTTCTGCTTCAAGCCACCTAAGGGTCATGCGTGAGGGTTTACCCCTCCCCTTTTTCTTTGCGCCCACCCTCCCACCCCACTCAGGTGGATCCTCGAGGCCCAGCCGCAGCTGGCGCCCCAGAGATACTGTGCGCACCATGCCCCTGCATGCAGTGGCCGCAAGTTTCAACCTTGCACCGTGTGCCGCGTTGCACACTAACCAGATGCACTCATTGCAGCCTCCAGGGCCCAGCCACAGCTGACACCCCGGAGGCATTGTGCGCAGCATGCCCCGGCATGCCGTGACTGTTTCGACAGGTCTCGACCTGGCACCGTGTGCCGCATTGCACACCAGCCGGATGCACACATTGCATCCTGCCGCCACATAACTGTTTCGACGGGTCTCAACCTGGCACCGTGTGCCGCATGGCACGCCAGCCGGATGCACGCATTGCATCCTGCCGCCACCAATGGCTTCGATTGTTTCACGCCTCACAGGTAACACACCTGGCGCCTGGTCGAACACGCATTGTTGACCACGGGGGCATTTGAGAAGGCTCCGCAGAGGGTGCAGACACGGGGAAAGGACACGCGCTGTCTTTCCCCCTGCACCCCCGAGCCTTAACTTCCAAGCAACGCCTTATAAAGAAAAGCAGCATGCGCACATGTTTGTCGGTCGTACTCTTTTATCTTTTGCCGCATGTTCCCTTTCGGATTGAAGCAGTGATCAAGATTCTAACATGTTCTATTATTCAAGCCCACTTGATTAATCAAGTGCCAACATTAATTCAGCTTTATTAATTTAGTTGTAGTCAGTAGTGCGATGGGCCGCGATGGGGTGAAAAGTGTGCTTGCCTTGTGACATTTGACTCAACTGACAGCTTGGTGTGCAACATTGGCAATTGGACTCCTTGTTTCTGGCAACTGTCACGCCTGCCGTTCTGAGGTCAGCTGATGGCGCCGTCCGGAATTTGCTGGCTGTGCTGTGGTGTGCTCTGTGTTTGATGGCTGTTGTTTTTTGGGTGTGCCGCGTCATAACGAAATTTTAGCGGACACTACTGTAGATTAAAGTGCCCCTACTGTTTTTGGCAAAACGGTAGCGAATCGTCAGTCTTCGGCAACCATCGAAACTTCTCCTGAGTTTACAACAAGTTCTAAGAAAACACTTCAGCTGGTCAACACTGAACAATCTGGTTTGTATGGAGCTCCTTGAGGTAAGGCCACCGAACCAAACCGCACCAATCCGTGATGCGTGCCCTCAAATTCTCAACATGACATGATCATGACCCATGGATTTTGCTGAAATTCACCCTCCTGATCCAGACCCCGCTGACCCACACCTCATTTCTAGTGTCATGATTCATCTTGTTTTTAGCTTGTCTTATCCTATTTCAAAATAATTTTTCCATGTTTTATCTTGTTTTATTTTATTTGGCAATTGAGATGCATTTGAGATAATTTAAGATAGTTTGATCTTATTGGAGATGAGGTCTAATCCCCGTAAATCTGGTGCCCCTCTTGTTTTAATGATGTTGTTTGCTCACGAAGTGCTGATCGTGGCTCCAAAGCAGCTGTGGAAAACGCAGCGCTGTTCGAATGGTGGGGAATGGAAGACCACTCGCGTGAACATGCACAGTGCGCATGGAGCACGCGTTCTCACCACTCCAGGCCTGTTCCGTTTTCACCACAAACTGTTCAAATTTGCGCTTAGCAGCCAATTGATCGGCACGCCCAGGATTTCGGCAAGACACAACATCTCAGACAGAGCCAGTCAAGCAGTTGTTTGGGCGCGTGCGAAACAAACGCGCCGCTTCGTGAGTCGACATGGCGGAGATGCCTCTGCGCAATGCCGCTCCCAATCAGGCGGCGTTTCTCACCTCTTGGTGCGGGAATGCTTTCGGTGCTTTTGATTTTGGGTGTTTGCGATTTCTTTTGGCTTAGCAGACAGCTGTTCTCAGCATCACGCTCTTTCCTGGCTGTCTGGCATTGTTTATACAAACCTGCTTGTTTTTACAAGCCTACTCTATACAAGCCTCATTCAGTTGATTACATCTCCGAGCCCAAACTACCAACCGAAGCCGCCAAATGGGCGCCTTTTAAAACTTTTGACGAAAATACCCTTGTGTGGCTTTGGTGTGGAGGGGAACCGAAACCCATTGTTGGGGTTCCGATTCCTGTTTTGGTACAGATCGCCAAAGAAGGAGAAGCGGATCTTAGTTCCTAACCAACCTTTTAAAGACGTCAGCACCTTCGTTCAAACAGCCTCCTTTGGTTTCCCTTGAGAGGCTTAAAGGTGGCTAGGGTTGGGTGGCTGAAGCACAATCTGCCAAACCCTGGTTTTACCAGACCTTTGAGGCTCAGTTGTTTTGGAGTTTGTTTTTTTTTTGGGGGGGGTTGGGACATGTGGGACTCTGGGACTCACTGAATTTCCAACAAAGTCTTGTGGCATTTTCTCTTGGGTTCAGCAATGGAGTTCAAAGAGATGGAGATCAGGATGCTCCGATTGCATTCTTCGAGACTGGTGCGAGCCAGAGTTGGAGGGTTCTCAAGAGGTCCTTTACATGGGATGATTTCTTCACTAAAAGACGTGCCTTTCTCAGAACATGGGAAAATGACCCATCAATTTGGGGACAGCATTGTCAAGTAGCTTCAGTTTGTGCCTTTGATTTCAATCATTTTCTCGCCTTTGGTAGCCATGAGCGCAAGTACCAAACCAGTTCTGGGTTTAGTCACAATGAGTTGTGGCGCGCCAGGTCTCAAACTTCGATCCTTACCATAGGGGATGAAATTGAGTTATCGAGCCGCCTGAAAAACGGGGTGTCTTGTTTTAAGCCCAGATAGGGCGATGTACTTTTAGAGTTGACAGGGTTCAAACACGCTTCCTTGGGCCCCCGCGCGGCCATCGTGCCCACCCGGAAGCCGGAAGCCTTTCTGGGACCCAGGGAAACCAAGTCTACCCATGGCGTCCTTTTTGCAAAGTGAACCCTCTCAGCACTTTGGCCGCGCTGACCTTCAAAAACTCGAGGTTTTTTGCGCTTGTTTTCGGCCCTCAATCCTCGTTTGTGGGGTGTGTTGCATTTTTGGTGTCCCTTCAAACACCAATCAAAAGCCAGCAATCTGGCCGAGAAGCGAGAAAGAGGCAAGAGACGGGAAGAGAAGAGGAAGGTGGCAATGACAGGGAAAGGAAAGTCATTGACGAGGTAATTTGAGGTAGGATGCAGAGGTGTGACGGAAGGAACTGTGTCGTGGGTAAGTTGGATGACATGGAAAGATGGGATGGTGAACAACATGAAATAGATAGAGAGGTATAATGGATCTATTGGTCTCTCCAGAAGTGATATGATGTGGTTAGTCGCTGATAGCTCTTTAGTCTTTACATTTGGATTTTTAAATTAAGATCTGGATTTTTTTGTAGATGACCTGCAATTCAAGGTCTTATTCTAATGCTTTTCCAAATTAATTTAAGATGTTAATATTGGGTCATAAGGATTCTACAGTTGGAACAGCTAGAAAAGATGTGTGTCTTGAAATCACTACCGTCGGGTTCACGTTCCAAGTGAAGGCCCGGCCAGCTGGATATGACCAGGTTGCGGCCAAGGCCGCAATGGAGCAAGTTGCGTGTGTGGTTTGTGAAACTCACAACATGTAGTTGTCAGTTTTTTACTCGTTTTTGGTGCCCTTTTCTGGGCAGTTCTTCTTTTGGGGGGATTTTCTTTTGATTTTGAGGGTACCCCTTGCTGGAGTTGTTCGGGAAACCAAAAGGAAAACCACAATTCTTTTGGGACACATGTGTTGGAAGATTTGACTCGCCCTATACGTTGTTCAAAGGAAAGAGAACCCCCGTGCATTTGGAGGCCGATTTGTTGTTTGGGGTTGGGTGGGGGGTGGTGGGGACCATCAAGATAGATTTGAGGGGACTTGGCTGCTTTGGGGTGGGGCTTCTGGGTTCCAAATCACCTATGATTCTTTCTCTTCTCAAAAAGGAACCAAAAGAAGATGGACAAAAAGGCAGCAAATTCTCACAACCTCCTATTTTGCACCCACCAAGCCCCTTGGTACAGTTGAAAGTAGACTGCACAATTGCAAGCCACAAGGGAATTGTGTCATCCACTTGTATCCAGGTGTAAGTTGCTGCAGTTGTTGGGCTTCTCGAACCCAGACCGGGGCATTCTTGTGGGCCCTGGCTACTCAAAGGTCACGGGGGGCCCCCTGCAAAGAGCCACAACCTGAATTGCAGTACCGCGGGGTTCACAACCTGAAATGCCGTTCTGCTGCGTTTCCCTTGTGCTCTTCAAGGTTCCCTTTTTTGATTTACCCAAGGTAGACTCAAGCCCAGGAACGGTTGGTTTTCCCGAAGGGAGAATGCTTGGGTTTGGGTCTTCCGTGGGGAAGCCAAAAAATAGAGAGCCCTTGCTCCGCTTGCAACAATATAGGGCGTCCACCGGACCTATGCTGTTTGAATCTCGCACCTGATGGCAGTCCAGTGTGGCTGGCAACAAGCTTGCACCGTTGCCTTTGGCCAGGGTAGACCATGGTTCAAAGCATGTGACACCTCAAAGTTTTTCCAGGCACCTTTACAGCGCACGCGCTGCAAACTCGAAGAACTGCTTCTACCCCCCAAACACACCACCTGACTAGAGGTCACTGGAAGACAGTTTTCTTTTGGACCATGCAAAAAGTACTTGTTCTACCGCAAGGGGCAGCGGCTTTGCAAACCCCCGTGTCCGCATGCTTCTCAGAGACGGCACAGCGAACATGAGCTGCAGTGCGGAAGTGCCTTTAGAGCAGTCCAACAATTCCATCCGTTGTCCCCCTGCGGTTGGTGGGTTGACGGCCAAGAATGGTCTCCATCAGGGGGGAGTCACAACTATGAGAGGAGGAGATGAAGGTTAGGGGACAGTCCTAATTCCGAGCCATCAACAACATCCAATTTGCTATTCTGCACTTCGCGCGGGCATTGTCGGAGACCATCATTGGAGACCATGACACTGCGCAGCAGGAGCTTTGACCATCTGGTCAAGCCATAGCAGGGTCAGTTTAAACGGGAGGGTCATTTTTTGAGGGTATCTTTTTTTGTGGGTTGCATTCCACAGGCGCCAAAACACAGGCATTTAATACTGCTGACGTGGCAAGAAGCAACGTTGTCAAGTTGTCTCTAGAGTTGCCAAGTTGTGTTTTTCCCTTAGACCAGTGGGCATAGGTGTCCTTTTTGGGCTAGTTTGGTCAGAAATAGATGGGTTTCACAGGCTCAGATTGGTTTTCTTCCATTTCCCAGGGCCTTCTATTTCTTGAAAAGGTCACCTACGGCTCTTTCAACTCTCTTGGCGTCAAGCCTCTTTGCACGTTGATGTCCTGAAAGTTCTGCAGTAAAATACCACAGAATCCCTTCGCAAAGAAACACCACAGCTTGCATATTCATGATAACAACCAGTCTGGAAAGAAAGATCAATTCGTGAACCAATGAACAAATGAGCAAGAGCAAATCCCCCAACCGAAGCCGAAGCAAAGCTGCCTGGTGTTTGGGACCAGCAACTGCGCAGTTGATTTGTACCACGAAATGGATCGCACACGAATCGCAAATGGGAGGTTTCCATGCCAGAAACACCATGTTCGTCCATTTGAGTGAGAGGCGCCAAAGGCGCTGGCAGGGCTGCGGCCCAACCTGGAGGCAATAGAGTTGCTTCGGCTTTTCTGTATGTTAGCCCATTTTGCGTGTATGCTAGCTCCCTTCTATGTTGGCCTGGCATATGTATGATTAGCCTCCTTCACTTGCATGTATTTCACGTGGAACACGTTTGCGTCTTTGTCAGAACTCGCTGATGTAGTTGATAAGGAGACCGGTTGATGTGTTTGGCGTTGAGGAGAAGGGCTGCGTGAATTGCCATTCCCCTCTGCTCTCTTTTCAAGCGACGCATAGTGTGGCCGCAATCAGCTCCTAGTCCTGGCGAGTATTATCTCTGTTTCCGTGGGCGTCATAGCCACTTCGGTGTAGGGCTCTTTTTGCGGCTGTGGCGATGAGCGCAAGGGCCATGTAAACCTGTACAACCATTTTGCTTGAACCCGACATCAGTTGTGCAGCGCCCCAAACCCTGATCGGCCAACATGTTCAGTGGTACCTGGTTGTAGCGAAGCTTTTTCAGTTTTCTGATCATGTTGGTAGAAGTCCAAGGCTCGGGTGAAACGGGCTGCTAAATTGACCAGATTCACTGTGCCGCGACGAGCGAGCTGGAGCACACAGGTTTCGCTTGGTTTGCCACGAGTGAGACCCCTGGAACGGAAGTTCTCTTTTCGCTTTGGTTTCCTTTGAACCCCCCCCCCCCCCCGCAAAAGGGTAGCCCTACTTCCGTTCCCCAATCCACATCGAGTGATGTTAAAAGGGCCAGCTCCGACTTTTTCCAGCGAGGACTCCAGAAGCCGAAAGAATATATTGGGTTTGGGCCTTGGGCTCCGTTGCATGAAACTTTGTACCTTGCTTGTGGGGAATGTGGTCCCAGAACGCGCACGTGCTGAACCGCAGGCCTCGCGCGGGGCGACTGCGAGCTGGTGGCCCGTGGGGGCCGCCGTCGCCGGCGCCGGCGCCTGAGCCCCGTGGCGCGTGGGTTGCGGCTCTTGGCTTCGGGTTGCCACTGGATGAGTTTCCCTTGGGAGATGTTTGCGTGGGAAATCTAGGGAGCTTTGAGCAACAAACCAAGCAACAAGAAGAAACTAGTTGGTTCCCTCAAGAACGGAACCAACGTTTGAAAAAACGGTTCCTAACCACAGTAGGTGCGGATATCCGCCCTTTGTT